ACACCAGGCATGCATACACACATGCACACAACACAGGCACACACACACACACACACCAGGCACACATATACACACGTGTGCACCACCCAGACGCATGTGTGCACATGTGCACACACTCACACCAGGCATGCACACACACAACACACACGAACACATATGTACACAAACACGCCAGACACACATGTACATGCATGCACGCACACCCCCCACACAGTCACACTAGGCATGCATGCACACACCAGGCACATGTACGCACATGCGCACACACTCCAGACACACGTATGCACACACATCGCACACACCAGGCATGTATACACACATGCACACACGTGCACACAACACATGCACACATACACACACATGAGGTACGCATCTGACTGGCAGAGCTGTGCTCCGGGCCACAGCTGGTTTTCAGCTCTCCTGCTCCCATTCATGCCTCTGCCTCGCCCTTGCAGACCAGAGCCCTCCCTGGGCAGCTCCCACACCTGTCAGCCCTCACCTGCCCCGCCGCCCTGCACAGTCAGGAGCCTGGCTCGTCCTCTCTGGCACTTCAGTTTTTGAGGTGATGCTGATGGCCTTCTCTCTTCCCCTTGCCTCCTCCCTGTCCTCCCCTTCTCTTCTTACCTCTCCTCCCTCCATCCAGCTCCCTCTGTAGGGGTCTGCACATGCTCACAGATACCATGAAGGTCTGCAACCAGCATGGGACCTGCTCCCTGTGCCTGACCTGCCACCCGGAGCCTTGCAGGGGTGGGTAGAGGAGGGGTCCGTTAGCCTCCCTCAAGACCCCTTGGGGTGGAGCAAGGTCACTGGGGGGCAGAAGTGAGCTCAGGACTGGATATGCCCCAAAAGGCTCATTCACCATAGTAGCTGGGAGGGGTCTGCTTGGAATTATGAGCAAGATCCAAGAAGACCCCAGGCAGCTAGGCTTGCCTGCCCAGCCTTCCCACTTGCTCCATGGCTCCCCTCTAAGTGGGAGGATTCTCCCCCGCCCTCTCCCCCCCAGCATTCCACCTCCAGGTGTCAGTGCAAGTCCCCAGCGCACAGTAGGGGCCTCACTAATGCTTCTGAATGGCAAGCAGGGGACTTGAGTGGGTGTATCACGATTGCTGAGGGCCTGTGTGTCCCAGGCTGTGGGCTCTGCTGGCCCTCCAAGGCTCCAGGTCCCCTTAGGCCTGCTGGAGTTCTTGGCCCCAGTGAGGGCAGCCCTACCTGTCCCATCGGGGTGTTGGGGAGGGAACATTGGACTTGGGTCCCAAATGATGGGGATCCAGCTGTGGGTAGATCTGGGAGGAAGCCTTCCAGGCAAGGGGGAACTTGTGCAAAGGTCCTGAGGTGGCCACATGCTGGGGGAGGGGGAGGGATGCGTTGGAGAAACAGAAAGGCAGAGGAGTGGCGGAGGGACAGAGCCTAGAGGAGTGAATGGTACAACCTGAGGTTGGCAGGTGGGGTGGGGGCCCCAGGAGAGCCCCAGGGCACCCAGCAGCACCCTCATTTCCCAGGTGGGGGCCTGGGTCCTCAGAGGGGAGGCCGGGTCAGGTAGTGGGGCAAGTCCGACCCAACCTGGGATGGGCATCTTTCTGCTCGCTGGGGGTCCTCCCTTGCCCAGCCTTGGTGGGTGGTGGGGGGCGGGCTGGAGACTCAGGGGACCCCGTGGGTGGGGCAGGCACAGCTGTGGGGAGCCCAAGCTGCTGGCATCAGCAGGAGCCCCTCCTCCTTACCTCGCCAAACAATCATTGCACAAAATATGCAAATGGTATAATTACTGTTATTTGTTTTGCTGATATAAGTGTTTGAAATGCAAATGTCAAGTTTGGGCGCATTCATTTTCCCCACCCCTCACCCTGACGTTTGCAAGTCTACGTTCAGCCCTGGAAGGAGGATTTGGGGCCCCCCTCCTGCCTCTTCCTCCTTCTCCTCCAAGGCCACTGCTCCCCCCACAGCTGCTCCCTCTGCAGCCTGAGGGACACCCAGGCTCCCCCCTCAGCGGTGCGCTGGGGTGGGGAGGAGGCCTTAGAAGGGAGACCTCCCATTCCCCTCCCCTCCCCTCCTTGCTGTGTGATCAGGGGCCATTAATACTTGGCCTCTGGGAATCTCGGTTTACCTGTCTGTGTAATGGGCTCACCCAGCCTCAGGCTGTGGTGTGTCTGATCGCTGTGCTCTCTGGCTCAGGAGCAATTCTATCGATGGGTTTGGGCCTTAGTTTCCCATCTGTAAAATCCTGCACGGATGTGTTCCCGGCTATCACATGGGAACATGGGGCTCCTGGATGGGCGCACCCCCAGATAGCACACAAAAGATGTGTGTGTGCGTTTTCCAGGGTGGGTCCCTGCCTGTGGCTCCTCCAGCCCAGGTGCTCCCTGAGGTTTCAGGGCTCCCAGGCCTGTGGGGTTCAAACAAGCCTGGGCTTGTGTGACCCAGTGGGAGGTGCTCACCATCAACCCCATTCAACAGAGGAAAATCTGAGGCATGGCCTGCCGGGGTTTGTGGTGGTCTCACACATGAGCGTGCTCGGATGCCAGCTCTGTCTGGTGCCTGGTTCCTTTCCGGCGGCTCTCTGCCCCATGAGGCCCGAGGGCCGGCTCCTCCTTTCTGGCCTCAGCAAGCTGCTCCCCCTAGAAACCCCCTCCCAGATCTGCCTACACCTCGCAGCCCCCCAGGGCCAGGGAGGCCCCGTGTATCAGATCACCAGCTTCACCCGAACCCCACCCGCCGCAGATCCCACATTATCGACAAGGTGCTGGGACCCCTATATTTCTAGCTGCGTTGCCGGGCGCGGTCTTAAAGCTCTCAGACTGACTCGGTTCCAGGAGGAGCTCAGCCCCAGAGAGGAGCGAGGCTTCCTGCCAGGCCCTGCGGGTCGACGGGGCTCGGGGCTTGTGCCAGGGATGGCACCGAGAGATGCCCTGGGTTGGGCCGATGAAGGTGAGAATGGGTGTGATTCAGGGGCCGGTGGGTCGGAGCGGCCCAGGCGTGACCTGCCAGCCCGGCCACCCTCTCTGGGCTCAGCCTCTCCAGGCTGTGTGCTGGTGGTGGTGGGGTGTGGGTGCTGGGCTACCACCTGGATCCAGCCTAGAGCCGGCGTGTGGGAGGCCTGGGGTCCAGTGTGCCTGTGAGGAAAGTGGAGGATGTGCGTGCGTGCACAGGCATGTGTACATGTGTGTGAGCAAGCATGTGGGATCCGGGGGTCTGCAGGGGGTGCTCGTGGACAGTGAGATCTCCAGCCCAGGCACCTAGTCCTCGGTTCTGAGAACACAGCCCACTTGCAGGCCACAAGGCACCTCCGTGCTCACCCAGTTTCCGCTCACATGCACGGTGCCCCGGGCTCATGTTCCACCTTCCCAGCTTTGCCGTGAGGTCTGAGCGTGGCCAGGAACCCGCATCCCAGCCCTTCCCGTGGCCCGCCCAGGCTGCAGCCACGCCTTGTGGTTCCAAAGCAGTTTCCTTGTGTAAAACCTGGGATTCTTTGCAAAGTGGGGCTGGGCATACCGTGAGCACTCAAGAAGCTTGCATCCCTGTTCCCCGCCGGCTTCACTCGTGAGGCATGGGTCCTTGTAGCGGCCGGGGAGGCCGTTTTCAGGCTCCCGGGCCCAGGAGAGGAGAGCAGTCCCTGGCCAGGTGGGCAGCAGGGAGAAGGCCTTACCGGCAGGCAACCCATGCGGGCAAAGGTCCGGGGAGCAGGAAGGAAGAGGCGTCCAGGTGCCTGGGCCCCGGGTCTCAGCCTGGGGGCCTCCTCTGGGGCCGCGGGTGCAGAGAGCACACTCTTTCTGTCCCAATCACCTTTTCCAAGATAGGTTTGCCCTTATTAGCATATTCAAACGCAGTCCATTATTATTTCAATTAGCTGTTAGGTAATTAGCTCTAATTGATGAGCATTCCCCCACCTCCCCACATATTTTTTGGTTATTTACATCTGCTTCTAAACCACAATTTCAGGTAATTATGTGCCACTCACTCAGACGTTTGCGCTTGCGCACACATACACGCACGCACACACACACACACACACACACACACACGCACAAGCTCTAACTCACACCACGGGTTCCTTCTTGCCTTCCAGTTCCTGCTCCTGGCCCAGGAGCCTGGGGGTTCTTGGCAGGGGCAGTTTGCACAGCTGGGGCAAAGGGCCCCTCTGGCTCCTGTCCAGGCCTTCCTGAGGGTCACCACCTGGCCTGCAGGGCCTCAGGGGAGTCCCCTTGTCCTGAAGGTGCCACCTGCTCCCCCATCCCGTGCTACCACGCAAGTCGTCGGCATTGTGCCTCCGGGTTTGGTCTGACACTGCACCTTTGTGCTGTGGCCTGGGGCGTGGACACCATTCCCAGCCTCCGCTTCCCTGTCTGCAGAATGGGGACCTAGTGTGCAGGAGTGTGGTTGAGCGGGGGGCATGTATCCAGGTCCACAGTGAGCCTGTGCGTGGCTGCCGGGCCTGCTCCGGGGAAGGAAGGGAGCAGGGAGGGATGCAGCCTCATGGGCAGGTGGGGGAACCAGTTGTGGGCGGACTCACTGGGCCAGCTCAAGCCTCGGCTTCCTGGCTGGTGCCCTCCCATGTCGTCGGGGACCTGGTCTGGAATCCTTGCCCTCTGCTCCCCAGCAAGCACTCGCTTGTGGCGTGGAGCTGGGGCCTGCAGGGAGAGGCCTTGCCCTGGGTCTTTGTGTAGCCCACCTCCATGGGGGGTGAGGGGGTCAGGGAATCAGAGCTGGTCCCCCCACACTCACCTGGGCTGCAGCAGTTGGGGGACCAAGCCAGAAACAGCCGTGACCAAGCACCCGCCCCCTCCACCCTGCCTGTCTGACCTGCCAAAATCCTGCCTCAGGCCACTCCTCTCCCTGCCCTCTGCCCTCAGGGGCGTGGGCCTGCCTGGTGTGCACATGGAGGTGGACTCTCTGTGCATGGGGCCCACAGGACAGATGTCCCCATGGCTTCTGCAGATGGGATCTTGCTCAAGCTGTGACAGCTCCCCGCACCCTTCTCACCGGCGTCCCATTCTGTCTCCCTGCAGTGGCAGCTGCCTGCGTGACCGTGTGCTGTTCCTCGGGGTCCTGGAAGGTGGAGAAGACGTGTATGACCCCTGCAGGGAGGAGCCCGCCAGCCCATACTGCCCTGGTGTGCTGTGTCGCTGCCGGGCCCTAACCGGAAGGTAAGGGGCGCTGTGGCCCGTCCGATGCGCTCAGCATGCGGGGGGTTGGGGGGGCCGGTCCTGAAGACCTGTGTGCTGGGGTCACCACGCAGGCGTTGGGGGAGCCAGGCTCAGGGTCAGGCTCAGCTGGTCCACAGAAACAGGTCCCCACATGGAGCTGCTGCCCAGCCGACGGGGCATTCGGGCCGAGGAACGGGCCACCTCAATGTGTGCACAGTGGGGTAGGGGCTCCACCGTCCCCCCCCAGTGAGTTGGGGTGCCATGTGGGTTTCATCCTTTGCCACCTCGCGGAGCTGGGCGCCATGCTGTGCGCTTCCGTTACATGTCGTAGGCCAAGTGTACGATGCGCCGTGTGTTAACAGGACTCACCCCGTGTATTTGAAAAACAGGGTCTCCTATGGAGAAAGTGACCCGGAATGCCGACTTGAGCGCCTTAGGAAGGGGAATCAGGCAGCCTTCCGGTGGCACAGTGGGTGTCCTCGCGGCCTGGGGTGCTGGGCCTGCCAGGAGTTAGCTTCCTCAGCACTGTCCCAGGTCACATAACTCCTCTTGCCACCTGTGCATTGGACTCCGCCGTTGGGGGCCCTTCCTGCAGGGCTGGGACTGACTTCTGTTTGCAAACCCAGTTCTGGCGCAGGTGCTCCTACCCGGTAGGTGGCCCATCTGTTGGAGCTGGGTTGTCCTGGCTCACGTGACCATCAGGGGGTCAGTGACTCGATACCTTAAAATGTGTGTTTTAGGGTTTGGAGTTTTGCAGTATGTCGCTTACCTGCCGCATCCAGGCATCGCAGTCGTGATACTCAGGCTCTTCCGATTCTGATGGACCGAGAGAGGGAGCGTTTGGGGATACGGGGCTCTGTCCTTGGTGACAGGGAGGAGCAGAGACTCCTAGAACTTCCAAGGGCATGCCTTCTTCTGCTGGTGTCAGACGGCTCCGCAGCCTTTTCCGTGGCTTTAGCAGGAGACTTCCAGGAGGGGAGCGCCGAGGAGGGAGGAGAGCCCACCATGAGAAGAAAAAGCAGGGCGTTTTGGACAGAGGGACCAGCTGGGGAAGCAGAGCTGAGGCGGGACAAGCTTAGTGTGTGTGAGGTTCATGGGGAGACCGGGCATGCTGGAACCTGTGGGCGTGGGAGTCACGGGGTTGCAGGGCGGACGGGGGCTAGGTCACAGGGCGGGTGAAGCTGCCTGGTCATGTTCCTCCAGATGTCTGTGGAGTGCCTGCCATCTGCCAGATACTGTGGAGCTAGAGACACACATCCCTCTAGGAGCGCCGAGTCTAGAACGAGGGAAGGGGTGTGAGAACGTACGGTTCATTCCACGTGACGGCCGCGTCCCTTCAGCGGACATCAGGAAAGCCTGGGATGAGGGGCTGCGGTCTGACCCCATCCCTGCCACTCATTTCATGGGACAGTGAACAGCACCTACCCCTCCATAGGCCTCAGTTTCCCTGTCTGAAACATGAGAGTGTCCCCAAGGACTGTCCTGAAGGATGTCCCCTGAGGCTAAGAGATACTGAGAGGGCAGCGTGTGTGGTCTGGGGTCGGGGTCAACTCTGACCATGCCAGGACACAGAGACCCACGCAGCAGCGGGGCGGGCGGGCCACCACAGGCCGACAGCACCCTTCAGAGGTGCTGGGGCAGTTGGGTCTGGGCTGGGTGGACTTGACGGTGCTGACCCCAGGGCATGGGCCAGCCCGAGCAGGATTTTGGCCAAGACTCCTGGAGATAGCCCTGTGCTTTCCCACCTCTGTGCATTTGCATAGAGCACCCTGTCTCCCCACTCTGCCTATCCTTGGGGTGGTATGGGTGTGCCACAGACCCCATTCTGATGACTTTTGCATGTAAAGTGTTGAAAATCACCTACTACCTCTGACCTCCTGTTTCTTATCTGTAAAGTGGAGTAATAACCTCTCCCAGAAGGTGAGCATTCAGCAGGACGTGCAAGTTGCTCGGTATACAGTAGGCACTTAAGAAATGCTGGTGGTTATGCCCCCATTTCTGAGCACAAGACAGCAGAGTCTCTGGGACGTCACGTCCGAGCAATGTTTATTCTCTGCCTTCTTCGAAGCCCACACTCAGGCTTCCCTGAGTTGGTCCCAGGTCCCTGGAGACAAGGGGGAGCCCGGTAGGGCTCAGTCCCCTGTCAGCCCCAGACCCGTCCGTCTCCGTCCTCTCCTTCACCTCAGGGCCGCATGTTCTGCATCTCCTGAGCCTGGCTGGTGGCAGTCGCTGAGCGAGTGTGCGCCTAATGAATGGAGAGATGTTTCCTATCCTGGCCCACCTAGGCTGCAGGTGGGGGACCAGATGGCCTGAGGCTCCTGCAGGGTCCGGCAGAGGCGTGCGGACACCACACAGTGATTCAGGAACGTGGGTGCGGGGTGCACTGTTCCCGAGATCCCGCACAGACACAACGTTTTATCATGCAGCGAGTTGAACTTTCTCAGTTCTATTCCTGCCTCTCTCCCTCCCTCCGTTTCCTGGTCCTGAGGCCTCGTCCCTGGAAGTTGCTTTACTGAAGCAATGACTAAGAGGCCAGAAGGAGGCTTCTGTGTGTACTGATGACCCCAGGTGACCTGCTGGCCCCAACCCAGCCCTGGGCCTGGCCCTGTGTTCAGCACCAGGGACAGAGCCATAGCCAGCCCCACGCTGGGCCCCTGGGTACCATGGAAGGCATGCTGGGAAATGGGGTCTGGGGGCCAGCAGAGGCAGACCAGCCTCCACTGTAAGACCTCTGCCCCCAGGCCTCAGTCTTCTTCTCTGGGAAGTGGGGGTGATGCTTTCCCCAGCACAGGCTGGCATGACACACGGGTGACTTGCCCAAGGCCACCCACCTTCTCCCTTGCACGTCCTGCCCCTCCCCCAGCCTTCCGACAGTCCCCCTTCCCTCCCCCCTTCCCAGAGCAGAGTTATTTATCTGCCTGATGGTGACAGGCGGCAGTGGCTGGAGTTAGAGCTGCTGTCCGGAGATCAGCTGGCGGCTGCAGAGCAAACAGCCCGAGCTAATTAGCAAAAGGTCACTCCAGCTGCTCGAGCCCCGCTTCTGAAGTCAGACCTCACAAGTCGGGCTGGAAGGAACCTGGGACTTTGAGTTAGTGGTTTGGTTACCAGGACAGCTTCAAACCGCTGGCCACGGCTCATCGCCTGACTGCCCGGCCCACGACTCTAGGCTTCATTCGCCTAGAGATTCCCAGCACCAGGGGTCCAGCCGTCCGCCCACTGCCCCAGGCTGGACAGTCCACAGAGACTGCATCCCCAGCCCATGTCGGAGGGCAGGCCTCCCCCACAGGGCCCAGGGACAGACTGTCCCCAGCGGCAGAAGTGTGGGGCTGGGCAGTAGCCGCCCATGTGCCCCCACATTCCCTCTGTGTTCTTACTGTTTTTCTTTAAGTAAATTCACTTTTAAAAAACTTAAATAAATACATTTATTTAAAAGGGAAGTTTTATAGCACTACTACAAATGGAAAACAAGCCTCCTTTGCCATAAATAGAATTCATAATCATAAAAATAAATTCAGTGGAAACAAAACAACGTTATTAAATTCTAGTTAGATGCTGTAGCCCGGGGAGGCTTGGAGCCCAAGGCCTGCTCTTGCTTTATTAAAAAGGGAGAACAGGAAGTGTGCAGAGGTGTTCAACACTTACCAGCCCCAAACCGAGACTTTCTTTTTGATGTAGTTAGAAGCCTTGAAAAGAATTACATTGAAGGTAACTTTCTTCATAAGAGAATTCAGCATTATTTTCTGCTGCATCAGCCAGGGATTTGGTTTTGCTGCATGAAATGGAGACCCTGCATGAAACGGAGACCCTGTCTTATGATTGAGCCCCACATAGAGGTTCTCCTTTCTCGTGGAAATATAGGGTGGCCGTAGTGTTGGTGCACAGCCCGAGGAAGCTGTCAGTCATCACCCCACATAGACTTCTTCTTAGACATTCTTAGCATTTGTCCTCATGGCCTCGAGATGGCGGCGGCTCCTCCAGCCATCGAGTCTGCATTCCAGGCAGCAATAGCAGTGGTGAAGAGAAAGGAGTGTGCTGGCGGAGTCGGTTCCTTATTATCAGGAAGATCATGGTGGGCACTGGAGCCTGTGCTCTCACCCACCATGGTCCACTGTTGCCTCACGGACATTCTCACTGAAGAGTTTGCCTGTTGGCTATATATTGATGTGCTGTCTGTCATTTTCCAGGCAGTAGACCCCGGGCGTGAGGTTACATGCTGGCATCTGTGGAAAGAGTCACAACCCGTCCCAGGACACCCTCCTGGAGCCTGCCCTTCCCCCATACCTGGCTTCTGCTGCCCATAGTGGGCCCAGCTCAGGGTGGACCCTGCGCTGTCCCCACTCCCCTTCCCTGAAGAATAGGCTGTCCTCACCACCTGTGGGGCGAGGTGGGGGGTGTTGCTGGAGAGGGTCCAGGCTCAAGCTGCCCACCTCTGGGCTGCCATGGGAAGGGAGCAGCCCCTCCCCTCCCCTCCCCTTCCCCCACAGCTCTCTTGGGGTCCTGGTTCCCCATGCTCCCTCTCCAGCCTCCCTGAAGCCCCTCCTTGGCGGTTTGGTCTCTCAGCTGGCAGCCTGACCGGCCACAGGGCTGCATTGCTGCTGCTATAGGTCTTAATTTGTTTTCTCATTTCCCTGTGGAATGCGTACCCTGGGTTTCTGGCTCTAATGAGCAGGAGGAGTGGGCGGGCCTCGGGGTGCCTCCCGCCTCTGGCCTCTCTCTGGCTTGCAGGCCCTGGGGACCCCTTCTCTGTCCGTGCAGGGCTCCTGACTTGGCCCCTCCTTGCCACGGGCTTTGCTTTTCTGCCTGAGCTGCTTCTCTCCTCCTCCCGTCATAGACGTTATTCCTGCCTCTGGCCTTTGACCCCTATTTTTGCCACCAGTGCAGGGGTCCCACTGCAGACCCCATTGCTAACCAGCTGTGCAGTTGGGGGCAAGTCACTTAACCTCTCTGTGTTCTTTGTGTGACGGGGACAACAGCAGCTTTTCCTCAGATCTCTGATAAAG